TTCTTCTTAAATATCACTTTAGAAGGAATTGCCAAACTTAAATTGCCAAAAGGGGAAAACAGCCCAAGTATCAGCTTAAGTTTCTGGTATGACGGTGCTCAGCAATTAGCCTACTCTAATACAACACTAGGTTGAGAGCTCAGTTCTCACATCAGATAGAACTAAATTCAAATGCCACTTGCAGTACTTAGTAGCTGTGAGATTTCGGGTAATTTCTATTCGTCTCTGAATAATAATCTGTCTTTCCTCATTTATATAATGTGGCTTAATAATATCACATACAATATTTTTTTTTTTTGTATGAGAAACTGGCACCTAGTAAATGCTTCATACCGGTTAGTTCTTCTTATTATAATCACATATTGTTGGACTCCTCCTTTTCTATTTTAATAGAGTAGCTTTTGCTAATTTAGGGAATAATAAAAAAGTTAGGGCTCTCGAACTTTGTTCTTCTCTTGCACCCTCCAGGTGTGGGTCTCTCTGCTGATGGTCATCATGATTGTGCACAGCAGTTGTCTCCTTCTCCAGCCACTCTGTGGTAGACAGAATAATGTCCCCCAAAGGTGTCCATGTACTAATTCCTGGAGCCTATAAATATGTTACCTTATATAACAAAAGGAATTTTGCAGCTGTAAATAATTTAAGGACCTATAAATGGGGGAGATTATCATGGATTACCAAAGTGGGCACCATATAATCACAAGGGTCCTTTAAAAGATAGGATAGGGAGACAGAGAGTCAGAGAAGTAGATATGATCATGGAAAAGAAGGAGATATGATGTTGGAATAATTTGATTACTGGCTTAAAAGATAAAAAAAAAATACCACAAGCCATTGAATGTGGGCAGCCTCTAGAAGCTGGAAAAGGCAAGGGATGGATTCTCCCCTAGAGCCTTTAGAAGGTACACGTTCCTGCTAAATCCTTGATGTTAGCCCAGCAAGACATACATCTGATGATCTTACAGAATTGTACATAATAAATTTATATTATTTGTCATTAAGTTTGTGGTAATTTGTTATAGCAGCAATAGGAAGCTGATACCCACTATTCCTAACGTGCTGTGTTGCAATGTGCATGTGAAGCTTTTTACTGACGGGAGAGGGAAAAATCTCAGAAAGGAAACACAGTGCAAGAGCAAAGGCAGAGGTGTTGGCTAGCATGAACTTTCCCTTGCACCACACAAGGGAAGGTAGCTCAAGACTTAGGCTTTCACAAGGGAGATGTCATCACTCTGGAATGCTTCTCAACTCCTGGCCACGCTCTCGTTCTCTGTTTTGTGTCATAGATACTTCATTTTCCACCCCTACCACAACCCTGCCACAACCCTGCCACTGCAAGCTGTGAGCCTGCCAAATCCCACACTAGGTAAGAACATGTCTCCTATTTCCTCATTGGCAGGGCTCTGGCTTTGAACTTGAGCAATAGTGGACCCCATACCTATAGTGAGAGCCCTGGCATGTTCCTGCCCTTTCCACCCCCAGACCAGCAGCAACATAAAAGGCCCACACAGGCCAAAACATTTTCTTCATCCCAAAAGGAGACTCTGTACCTATTAAGTAGTCACTCCCCACTTGCTTCTTCCCCCAGGTCCTGGCAACCACCATCTGCTTTCTGTCTTCATGGGTTTACTTATTCTGGACATTTCATATAAATTGAATAATACAATATATGGCCTTCTGTATTTGGCTTTTTTCATTTAGCATAATGTTTTTGAGGTTTATTCACATTATAGAATATATCAGTACCTCATTTATTTTCATGCCTGAATAATATTCCATTGTATGAATGCATATTTTGTTTATCCATTTATCTCTCAGTGGATACTTGGGTTGTTTTCCCCTTTTGGCAATTGTGAATAATGCTTCTATGAACATTTGTGTATGAATATTTGTTTGAATGATGCTTTCATTTCTGCATGGACCTGTGTTTCCTTACCTCTTGGGTATATTCCTAAGAGTGGAATTACTGAGTCACCTGGCTTTGGATAGCTGCTTATTTTGTTATCAAAGATAAATGGCTCAAGCTCCACTACATTATTTATGTTCAGGATCTTCTCCAGGTGGAAAGTGTTTATGGGAGGTGCGGATTCCATCACCACATTGCTATTATCAAGCACATTACCCCATGGCCATCTTCGAGGCTGAAACCACTAGGTGTGCTAAATCAGTGGTTACTGGAGTGAGGGCCGTAGGCTGTACTAGAACCCAAGATGCCTTCCATCAACTTCTGACACATTAAATGGGTTACTTATGTGTTCATTATTTAACTCCCTCAAAGACTATGTGAGTTCTGCAAGAACAGGGGTTTGATATGTTTGTGTGATTCTGTATCCCTAGTGCCTTTGACAGTCCCTGGAACATTTTATGGTGAATGAATACATGAACATTTGTAAGATCTGACCAGCAATGTTCTCTGATTCCATATCCTGTCTCTCCTTGATTGCCCAACCCTAGTAGCTGGACCTGATAGCCTGATAGGGGGTTATCAGGTTCATATCCATGAACTCTTTAGTTAAATAGCACCTTTGTGTTCATTTTTCATTTCAAGAATCAAAAATATCCTGGCAACATTCAGAGTAGATATTTTTTTTTTCTCACTTTGAAGATGAAGAAAGTGGTAATCAAAGGCATTAATTTGTACCAGTGATTCAGCTAGTAGGTGGTGGCAAAGGAAGGTAAGAGTGATGTATTAGTTACCTAGGAGTGCCATAACAAATTACTAAACACTGGGTAGGTTACAACAACAGAAATTTACTCTTTAATCATTCCAGAGGCCAAAAGTCTGAAATTACGGTGTCAACAGGGCCATGCTCTCTCTGAAGGCTCTAGAAGAGAATCCTTCCTTGCCTCTTCCAGCTCCTGGTGTCTCTAAGCTGTCTTGGCTGTGGCGGCATAGCTCCAGTCACAGCCTCTGTTTTCATATGGTCTTCGCCCCTGTGTCTTTGTGTGTCCTTTTTGATCTCTTATAAGGACACTCACCATTGGATTAGAGACCACCCTAATCCAGGATGATTTCATTTCACTATCTTAAACTTAATTTTTCTGCAAAGACCCTTATTCCAAGTAAGTTCACATTCTGAGGTTCAGGTGGAAATATCTTTTGGAGGTCATCATTCAGCTCACTACAGGTGGGCATCCCAGTGAAAATGTCTCCTTGGGCATCTGATCTGTACTCCAAAGGTGTCCACTTAGCACTGGTTCCATGGATGGTGGCAGATATTATGAAAAAGGGGGTTGCAGGTAAATGAGTTTGGAAAATCTGATTTAAATGAAAATAGTTAGGAATTTTTACTGCAGGACTTCTCAGGCTCTTTAATGTCCATTGTAAAGCTTCATGAAGGTAAAATCATGGTGCACTCTCTAAATTTCTTTGCTCTGGAAACCCTTTAAAAAAGTTTAATGAAGAACAGTGGGGCTCTCACGGGGGAGGCTTCCTGGAATATACATGGGAAGTGTTGCTCCCCTCATTCCCTTACTTTTTTTTATGGGGTAGGGTGGGGAGGACTTCATTCCTAGGAGATGTTCCATCTGAAATGATACAAATCATTTCAGGCTAGGTCAAATGGCACAGAAAAGAAGAAAATATAATGGGTATGGCATTCTTTATTTAGTAAATCTCTAAATAAAGAAACTCCACCAATTGCCTAACTATTCCGTATAATTGTCATAGGAATCATGCACCGCCTAATAGACCACATTGGAAATGTCAAGATATTTGCTGGGATCAAGTCCCATTAGGAATCTATTGCCTAAGTGCACACAGACAGAGATTTATAGAGCTTTGGAGCTACACGAGGGTCTTAGAAATATTTCTTCTAACCCAGTAATTTTACAGATAAGGAAGCAGAGACCCAGAGAGACAAAATAGTACAAAATACAATCTGCTCAGAGTGGTACAATTAGTGGCAGAGCTAGTTCTGGAACTTATATCAACTGATTTCAAGTCCAAGGCTCTTTCCTCTACCCCAGGCTTCTTTTTAAATATCACTTTAGAAGGAAAAACTTTTACACTGACGATTTACTAGATATTCACTAGGAATTTTCTTATAACTAAACTTTTTGTCGAAAGTCCTTTTATCTAAACTATTGATTTTGGAAAATATTTCTAACATTTACTAATCCACTTTCCTGTCTTCCTTTAAGTGGAGTGCAATAGATAAAATTTACTTTTTCTTTAATTATGCATGATTTCACAGTGGCTTAGGTCTCTTGTGTGACCATCAGCTACCATCTCACATCTGACCACAGATTAAGTGTAGATACAAACTGTATAGGAAGGAAATTAGCAACGTTTATAAAAGATGTCAAACCCTCACTGATTTTCATCTGACATTTTAAGTATGTGTGTGTGGGATACTATGAACAAGAATAAGGCAACTGAAGATTTGAAAGTATCAGGAAAGATATTCTGATAGAAGCAATTGGTCTACTTTTCAATAAAAGTTGTTGCATGCGCCCTTTATGGCATTTGTGCAATAAGTTAGCCAACATTCATTATAGGGTGTTAGGTTGAATGTTCAGTGACCTTGTGATATGCCCTAGAAATTGTTGGTTTTTAAAAATATGAGCTTGTTTAATAGCCACTGGGTAGGATTTTCGTCGACTTTAATAAGCTACAAGTGAGGTCTTAGAGCAGCGGTTCTCAACTTGTGGGTCGCGACCCCTTTGGGGGTCGAACGACCCTTTCACAGGGGTCGCCTAAGACCATCGGAAAACACACATATAATTACATATTGTTTTGGTGATTAATCACTATGCTTTAATTATGTTCAATTTGTAACAATGAAAATACATCCTGCATATCAGATATTTACATTACAATTCATAACAGTAGCAACATTACAGTTATGAAGTAGCAATGAAAATAATTTTATGGTTGGGGGTCACCACAACATGAGGAACTGAATTAAAGGGTCGCGGCATTAGGAAGGTTGAGAACCACTGTCTTAGAGGCTGCTGTTAGGCGCTTTGCTGTCTTTTTTTTTTTTTTTTAGGAAAAGGTAATTTTCCTAAAGGTCAAAGGCATGAGGGTAAATGAATAACTTTCCCTGGATTCAACTGGGAAAAGCCAGGATGAGCAGAACTCTTATGCCCACCAACGGATCTTGGAAGGTAAGACTGAGATGTGACTTGGAGGCAAATAGCTGACATTCTTTCATCCCTAGAGTAGAGAGGTCATTTCAATGCTGTTGGCCTCTGAAAATCGGGACTAGGGTCCATGATTTCAGGCGATAATTGTTTTGTGGATCCTCTCTAGGAACAAGGAGGGGCTTCTGATTATAGCAACTTATTGTCTGAAAGGCAGACCATGATGAACTGGTCTAAGAAAGGCTTAGGGTGGCGCAAAGGCACAGAGGTGCCCCCTGACCTTCAGATACACCACACACAGAGGGTCTGCACATGGCATATACCAAGGCCCTCAGTCCATATCCTCCCGGCTGCCTTGGGCCACTTGTGACAGTTTGACTCTCAAACCATCTCCAATTTCCTCTCCCGACTCCTGTGATTTGTTTCTTTCTCCAAAAGCAGAGAAACAATTCGCTGATTAAGTGGTCTGGATTCTTGGACTAAAGGGAACTGGGGGATTACTTGTTTCTATCGCAGGGCCTTTGACCTTTCTGTCTATTATGTTCTTCCAGGTGTCAGCATGAATGTCACTTCCTGAGAGAGACCCTCCCTGACCCCCTAGATGTCCCACAGCATCTCCTGGCATTCACTCTTTATCTCAGTGCCCTGATTCATTTTCTGTAGGTCTGATCTCTAACTGAAATAATTTCGGTTATGTATTTCCTTATGTGTGGTTGGCTCTGACTTCTTCCATTAGACTGGCAGGCAGAGATTCTATATCCCAGAGCACCCAGTACAACCTACCACAGATTCAAGGGAAGGGGTGTCTATGGACTCCAGGTTAAGAATTCCTGTTCTAGAATATATCACTTAAGCTTAGTTCACCATTTTAACTCTAGCACATAAGACACAGTAGATACTCTTTACATATCTGTGGAAGGACGGATGGAAAGGAGGAAGGAAGGAACAAAGGAGGGGAGCAGCATTCTTCTTTGTGTCTGATATTGTTCTCAGAACAAGCTTGCCAATGAATGAATGAATCCTACAAGCAGGGCAGTGATAAATGAGAGTAGTCCCTTCCTCCACCAGCTCTAATAGCAATTGTAACTTGGGTGAGGGCTGTTGTATACTATGAAAACCCATTGAGTAACCCCCCCACCCCCCATACCTGACACAGAATGTGTACTTGAATGATTAAATGAAATGCCTCTTTGGCTGACAGAGACAACCCCCACACTATAATATATCAGGTATGAGGGATCAATGCTCTGAGATTTCTATCAGATCAGTTTTCCCTTTGGGCTGCCAATGGCTTCCTTTCTCATCAGCATGATCAGAGCTTTTGTGGGCTATTGGTCTTTACCATGACAGCACTTCTCATGGGAACCAGCCTTACCATCATCACCTGCCCTTGTCAAGCTGGAGTCATATGTAAGACATCCAAGGGTAGGACCCCTTTTCCCGCTTGGTGGGAAGACAAAACCCATGGGATAGCGGGTTAACTAAGAATCTGGCTCTGTCCTCTGACAGATGATTTCAGGTGCTCATGAATATCAACTGGAAAGATCAGTGCTAGGTGGATTATTTTTCTCATGATGCCTTATAAGTCAGCAGTCACTGACAGAACTTAAATGAAAACTCAGTGCTAGTAAAGACAAAATCTAATTCATTACTCAATGCTTCAAAAAAATTCCTAATATGTCAGCTGTGCAGATGCCAACATGCATCTATTGGTATCAGACACTTAAACTTTTGGAATGCTTTCTAAGATATTTAAGAATAAATGAATATTCATGAAAGTGCTATAAAAATGAAGGATCTATTTCTGAATAGGGGAAAGAAATAGCTTGGTAAAATAAATAGCAACTAAAGGTGGCTGTAAACACTAGAGGTTATGCATGAACCTGCTTTATTGTGATGGTACAGAGGGGTCCATCTTTCTAGGTTATCATGCAGATCAAATAGGGAACAGGCTCTGGTGTTCCCCACCCACCTTACTCCAAAGCTGATCGACTTGCTTAACCTGATTCAAAGTAGTAACTAATTATGCCTTCCTTGGGCCCCAGCACCCTGCAAGTAATGCTTTGGAGCCAGACATGCTTGTCCATCTACATAATCATCTAATTACTTTTCCTCTCCTTAGGTTTGTGAGGTATGTGCTTTATCAGATAAGATAGTCAAGGTTATAGAATATAGATTAAGTGATGGAAGAAAATGGATTTCTCTTTTTCTTGAACTCCATAAAATTCCCAGCCTATTCTGCACATGTGGCCCTCAGTGGACTTGTGGGTTCAGGATTCTCTCTAATTCAGTGGTTCTCAACCTTCCTAATGCCGCGACCCTTTAATACAGCTCCTCATGTTGTGGTGACCCCCCTAACCATAACATTATTTTCGTTGCTACTTCATAACTGTAATTTTGCTACTGTTATGAATCGTATTGTAAATATCTGATATGCAGGATGTATTTTCATTGTTACAAATTGAACATAATTAAAGCATAGTGATTAATCACCAAAACAATATGTAATTATATGTGTGTTTTCTGATGGTCTTAGGCGACCCCTGTGAAAGGGTCGTTTGACCCCCAAAGGGGTCGCGACCCACAGGTTGAGAACCGCTGTTGCTTCTTCTGCTCCATAAAGGGTTATTCGTCTCCTGTTCAATGATTTCTCTAAATCTGTGATGCCCATTAGAATCACCTGGGAGTGATTTTTTTTAATTTTTAAAATTAAAAAAAATACTTTTATTGATTTCAGAGAAGAAAGGAGAGGGAGAGATAGAAACATCAGTGATGAGAATCATTGATTGGCTGCCTCCTGCATGCCCCCTACTGGGGATCAAGCCCGCAACCTAGGCATGTGCCCTTGACCTGCCCTTGACCAGAATAAAACCTGGGACCTTCAGTCTGCAAGCCAACACTGCATCCACTGAGCCAAACCAGCTAGGGCAGAGGGATTTTTTTTTTTTAAGCACATTTGCCTGGGCCCCACTCCAGGAGTTTATTAAAGCTCCCCAGGTGATTGCATTGAACAACCACTGCTCCAAATCCCTACCAACTACTCACAATCACTTTTGTTCAGATCTCTATAGATGGCTCTCCTTGTTCAAAAGAAATGAGCAGCTGTTCAAACCAGGTGAGATGAGAAAGATTACATTTTTACCAGATATCTTGTTAAACCTATATTATGTTATCTAAAATCTGCTCAGCCCTGCCCTAAGCGGTTTGGCTCAGTGGATAGAGCGTCGGCTTGCAGACAGAAAGGTCCTAGATTCAATTCCAGTCAAGGGCATGTACCTTGGTTTCAGGCACCTCCCCAGTAGGAGGTGTGCAGGAGGCAGCTGATCGATGTTTCTCTCTCTTCAATGTTTCTAACTCTTTATCCCTCTCCCTTCCTCTCTGTAAAAAAATCAATAAACTATATTAAGTAAATAAATAAATAAAATCTGCTCAGCCCTGCTGTACTGTTCTGAACTTCCTGACCTGTTATTTGCCTTGGTGGCATCCAAGCCTTTTTTTGTTTTGTTTTGTTTTGTTTTGTTAATCCTAACCTGAGGATTTTTTTCCCATTGATTTTTAGAGAGCATGGAAGGGAAGGAGGGAGTAGGAGGGGAGAGAGAAACAGCAGTGTAAGAGAGACAAATCTATTGATTGCGTCCTGCACTCACCCAGGATCAAACCTGTGGTGGGCAGGCCCTCACTCTAACCACTGAGCAACATCAGGCAGGGCGGCATTCAAGCCTTTTGACCTGTTTCTACCCTGTTATGTTTCTCTCATATGGCCTCTGTGGCTGGAGATCATCTTGCTTCTGTCAACTTTACATTCAATTAGTTCAGAGGAAATGTATATGAGCCTTGGTGTTTCCTTTTAAGGATGGCATGTTTCTGGCTTTTATTGACTTGGCAAAGGATTCTATGTCTACAAATAAGAAACATGACCACAGGTCTGTAGATTAAAAATAAAGTCAAGGTGGGCAGAGTGGAATTCTATAATCTAGCAAAGTTGAGCCCTATTTGGGTAACCAGAACTTCATTTAGCAAAATACAAGTTTTCAGTTGGATTAAATCTTGTGGGGTCTCAATCAATAATTTGAAAAGTGAAATTGTGTTCTTTTGGGGGTATTTTAAATAGTGATTAAAGTGGGCAGTGGAAAACATTCTCACCTGGTATCAGACTCAGGAACATGGAATTGTTTTCTTCACTTAAGGCTAGTTTTATCATTTTGTTTGCATTAAATTTTGTATACTTGGTTTTTTTTTTTGTTCTTACAATTTTATTAGGGCTATAAACAAGGAATTTATAGCTCTTTTTTGGCCCGTATACAATTTAAGAAAAAAAAACCACACTGAAGCATTCATGAGACTTGTGCCCCACAATGACTGTTACTGGGCCACAGAAGTGTGCATGGACCTTCCTGGTGGCCAAAACGAAAAGAAAGAGAAACTTGATTAGGTAAAGATTCATTGAATTAACTAAGCAGAAGTTTTGCAGGCAGTTATACATGAACAAAATTTCCCCAAGGAGTACCTATAAAATTTATACTGAGCAATGGAAGGTCAGAATTTATAACAATATCCCATGATCACCAAAACAGAGAGTTTACACCCTTATTTCAATAGCATCCTTTAGACAAAGAATACATGCCAATTAAAATAACTTTGTGGTGGACCAAAGCAAAATGAACAACTAATTAAAACAAAATTATAACTGATTCACGTGAAATCCTTATGAATTTTTATCCAATCATAATTTCTATATATTCATCAATTCCTAAATAAGTTTGAAATACTAATGTTTTATTTTCATACATTTGGGCCCACAACTCTAACTAAAGAAATAAGGTTGCCTTTTCTCCCTATCTCTGTGCTAAAGAGAAAAAGCAACTGCTTCTCTGTCATTCTAGCTTCCTCTTCGTATCTGAAAAAAATAAGTATTTAACTTATGTGGAACCTAGTCCTTCAGAATTAAAATATATGGGGTTTTCAGGAAATCACTCCTGTTTATATGTGTACTGTCAAAAAAGAGACTGAAAATCATTTATAGGCATTTGGGGATGGAGGAACTTCCAGCAGTCATGCCTGAAATTAGAACCAGCCAAAAACAAGCATGCTCTTATTCAGGCTTCTGGGTTTGTTTTTCCTGTGGCCAATATTTTTTTCTCTTACTATCTCTATGCTTTATGACTATTTCCCTTTTCTCATTTTTATAGTTTGTGGTTTATTATTTGTTCCTCTCTTGTTTTTAACCTATGTTTAATAATTCCCCAACCAAATGACTGTTTGCAGCTAGAAGCATAATTCTGTTCAAATGACTAGAATCTCCAGTGTTTCTCCTGTCTAATGATCTATGTTTTATGACATCATGTCATGATAATAATTCTCACTGTGTATGCCCCATAATGATCCATTTACACAAGTAAACATGTTCACTGATAATAGATGTCTAAGAACACTTCCTATAACCAGACAAGGGCAAATTAAACCATAAGTATATAAATAGATAAATTGATATTAACATTTTAATTTGGAGATAATTTGTAAGAATTTTTTTTAACCCTATCCAAGGATATTTTTCCATTGATTTTTTGGAGAAAGTGGAGGTGAGAGAGGAGGGGAAGATAGAGAGAGACAGAGAGAGAGAAACATTGATGTGAGAAAGACACATTGATTGGTTGCCTGCCACATGCACCCCTACAGAGGCCAGAGATCAAGCCTGCAACCAAGGTATGTGCCCTTGACTGGGTATCCAACTTATGACCCTTCAGTCCATGGGCTGACACTCTAACCACTGAGCACATTGGCTAGGGCTGTAAGAATATTTTTCGGTAACACCCAAATATATGGTATTAATATCTACACTCCTCCCTAAGCCAAAAATTAAGGACATCATCCTGGTGTCCTCATCTCTGTCACAGTAACATCCCATTGATCAAGCCCTACTCTTAAACAGGCTTCTGGGTTTGTTTTTCCTGTGGCCAATATTTTTTTCGTTTATTTTTTATTTTAACACCCTAAATAGCTCTGCCCTTTGCTTTATCCTTCCTCCTGCTATTGTCCTAGTTCAGGCTCCCATCATCTCTCATCCATATTATCTCCACTGCCTTCTAACTCTTCTCCATCATTTTTCTTATGCTCTCCAAGAAATCCTGCTTGCCTCAGGCCCTTTTCTCATTCCATTGCCCATCCTTCCTTCTCCCCACTCTACTTTAGCCTCCTCTATTCTGCTCTAGTCATACTGTATTTCCTTCTGTTCCTTAAACCGGCCACATGGCCTCTCATTTCTGACTTTCACATAATCTCTCTCCATCTTT